GTATACTTTGAGGTCACATGTTCTGATCTCCTGCAGTCATATTTTGGAGTTGTATTCTAAGTCCCAACATATTAATAAGGAGTTTTTTAGAAAATCACTGAGAAATGAATGACTGTGCAAAACAATTTAAGAGATAGAAAAGAAGTAATAGAATTTCTCTCTGCTGTTTATATCTAATATGTTTAGTTTATTTGCTCATGTGAAAAATCTAAAAATATCTTCTACAATAACACCAGTAATGCTTATGTTTGGGCTCAGAAAATGGTACCTCAAAGTATGACAGTGTGGCATGCTGAGTACTTTGGGAAAACTGGATAACTATATGCAGAAGAATGAAACTGGACACTTTCTTACACAATATACAAAGATCAATGCAAAATGAATTAAAGTTCCATGACTTTGGTCTCGGCAATGATTTCTTGGATAGGAACCCCAAAACATTGGCAACAAAAGCATAGACAAATGGGATTGCACCAAACTAAAAAGCTTCTGCCCAGCAAAAGAAATAATTCACAAGTGAAGGGACAAACTGAATTAGGGGAAAAGTTTTGCAAACCATATGTCTGATACAGAGTTAATATCCAAAATATATGACACTAAACTCAATAGCAAGAAAACAAATAGCCTAATTTAAAAATGAGCAAAGGACCTGAATAGCTACTTCTTAAAAGAAGGCATATGGTCAACAAATATATGAAAAACTGCTCAGCATCCCTAAAGATCAGGGAAATGCAAATTAAAACCACAATGAGATATCACCTCATACCTGTTAGAATGGCTACTATGGAAAAGATAAAAGTTAAACGTTTGTCAGTGAGGATGTGAACTTTGGCATATTTAGGTTTGTAATTCATTTGAATTTTATTTTTTGTATGTGCAGTGTAAGGTGGGTTTTAAAAATACTTAATTCTATTTTTTCTACATCATTTTCCTTTCTTGTCCTTTCTTTTCTAGGGATGTGTGATTTATCGTCTGTCATATTTTGGTCATCATTCATGGATTAAGTTTTCTTCCTTTGGTCCATGTTCTATCTCCAAACAGCCCTACTCTTTCAATGACTATAATGTTATAGACATGTTTCTGTCTCAAAAGCAATTACTCTACTTACTTTTTCGTCTTAAAAATTGTTTTAATTTTTGTGGCTGTTCAGTTGTATATATGAATTTTTTAAAAACTTAAGTTCCATTTTGAACTATTTTAAGGCTTCAAATAAAACGTTAATAGTTACTTATAGAGAATCAACACCTTTATTGAGTCTTCTCATCTCTGTACACAGTATATAGTCCAACTACTTTCATTTTGTTTATACCCTTAAGTAACTTAAAAAATTATATTCTCCAAAAGTTATTTTTCCCCTTTGATGAGAGTTGTTCTTGGATACCATATGCTTTTCAATGTTCTTGTTACTATGTAATACATTTTTAGTTTCTTTTAATCTAGGTCTCTCTCTTGGTCATTTTGCCCCCGAACTTTGACTTTTTGAGCAGTCTCTTCAGTCTCTTATAGAATGTCTCATATTATTTGTTTGTTCAGTATTTTTTCATGTGGTATTATTTGTTCTTCTATCTTCTGCTTTTCTGAAAATTGGAAGTTAGCTCTGAGGCTTGATTAAACTCCAGTTTAAATATTTTTAAGAGAATATTTCAAGGATGATGTAATCTACATATTGCAAGATATCAGGAGGCACATAACTTATTTTACTATTATTGATACCAATTTTAATCAGTTAGATTAGGGAGGCTACCATCAATTCATTTTATTGTAAATACAGAATAGATAATTTGAAGTTAAAATCTTGTCATTATGAAGATATCTCATTTTCTTACAACTCTTCTTCCAGTGGTTTTATCATCCATGGCTGATTCTTGCCTGAATCAATTCCAATATAGATGGTTAATATAGTGAATTTTCTAATTCTATTATTTCTTAAACATTTACTAGCTGCCAGTCTTCTAAACAAACTGGTTTTTGATTAGTTTTTCCTTGGTAATTAAAATATATTATAGAAAAATAGGGCACTGATGTAATTTGGACAGCTGTCATTAAGATGGCTAACTAGAAGTGCCCAGCACTCACCTATTCTACAAAGAAGGATTGAAATAGTAAGTAAATAACCAAATGTTGTCTACACTGTCTAGGAGAGAATGCTGGTTGTATTCAATGCTGGTTCTGGTTGACCCAGAACCATGTCTAGGAGGGAAGTGAAAGGAACCCTTTGAGGTATGGAAACTAAAGATGGCAGCATGGAAAAGGAAGTAAAGCAGCCAGTTGCATGGGCTAGAAGCCAGGAAGTACTTCCCTTCTCATGTGGGTAAAAGGTAAATGAGAGATCCACATAAATACACACGTAGGCACCTGCACACACTGTCCAGAGGCTGAGGAGTGGTATGTCCAGCCCACCGCAACCTACACACCTCACCCAGGAGCCTGAGGGCCAGCCTGCCTAGCATGCTGCTTCTACAGCCAGCATCTGTGTGCCCTACTCAGAGGCCCAAAGACTGGCCTACTGAGGGTTCACTGCCACTGCTGCTAGCACTTGCACACACCACCAAAAGGCCGAAGCACCAGTCAGCCTTGTGTTCCCATGTTGAGCAAAGGCTGGTCACAGCATCTGCAAACAACTGCAGCCTAAGCCACTAAGGAACTCACAGAAAATACTGACACTGATAATAGCAGAAGAAATCATACAGTGGCCACAGTATGGTGCATACCAAGAACCAAAGCCAAAGCAACCTACCCAAGCAAAATTGAAGACACACGTATAATAAGAAAAAGTATTTCCCTACAGAAGCTACTTCACAAAATAGAAGAAGTGTCTGTTAAATGAAATGCACAGGTACCAACATAGGGATAAAGGAAACACACAAAAAAAGCAAGGAAACATGACACCTACAAAGGAAGACAATAATTCTGCAGTAAAAGACCCCAAAGAAAAGAAAATATATAAAATGCCTGAAAAAGAATTCAAAAGAATGCTCTGAAAGAACCTGAGTAAGATACAAAAGAACACACATAAACAATACAAAAAATTAAGAAAAAACATCATGATCTGAATTAGAAATTCAACATATATCATAAAAAAGAACAAATAGAAATTCTTAAAGAATTTAATAAATGGAATAAAAATGTAATTGAGAGCTTCAACAAAAAACTGGATCAAGTAAAAAAATAAATTTTGAACTTGAAGACAAGTCAGTTGAAATAATTTAGGCAAAGAAAAACAAAAATATTACAGTTCGATTATTATACACTATATGTCTGTATCAATATCAATATATTACATGTGCCCTATAAATATATACAATCATTAGGTAGCAATAAAACTAATAAAATATAAGAAAAAGAGAACTATAATTATAAAATATCAGATGCTACTAAAAAACAAAAGGGAGGGCACTAAAAAATCTCAAGAGATTTTCCAAAATATATGTAATTTCTTAAATATTTAAACCAAAAACATTTCGCCAATATGAATTTAACTGAGGGTAGGGTTACAGTCTTCTCTCTTTTACAACTGTGCCCACTCAACCTTGACAATAGGTAGATGCACACATCAAAGTAATATATTTATGTTTAGCATATATTTTTTTCTTTAAAGGGAAAAAACAAATAATTGTGTGATTTTCACTTTGGGAAAACTTAAAGAAAATTTTATGTGTAAGAGATATCATGAAAGCTTAATTTAGCCTCATTTATATTTTTAGAATCTTGTTATGGTATGGTAAAAATCAACATAGTTGCCAGAGGATATTTGGGGACATGATTAAATAAGATAACATGTGATTAAGAATTAATACCTGGGGCCGGGCGCGGTGGCTCAAGCCTGTAATCCCAGCACTTTGGGAGACCCAGGCGGGTGGATCACAAGGTCAAGAGATCAAGACCATCCTGGTCAACATGGTGAAACCCGTCTCTACTAAAAATACAAAAAAAATTAGCTGGGCATGCTGGTGCGTGCCTGTAGTCCCAGCTACTCGGGAGGCTGAGGCAGAAGAATTGTTTGAACTCAGGAAGCAGATGTTGCAGTGAGCCGAGATCGCACCATTGCACTCCAGCCTGGGTAGCAAGCAAAACTCCGTCTCAGAAAAAAAAAAAAAAAAGAAAAGAAAAGAAAAAGAATTAATACCTGGTCATCTAGTTAATTCAAGGAACAATAAAGCATTAGCAACATGATTTAAAAAGGAGCATAATATGATTGAAAACAATCTTAGGAACCTTTGTATATTTTTCTTAGATAAATAAGAACAAAGTCAATATAAAACTCCGAAAGTTATTCTAATAAGACACAGATTCTCTAGGTAGATTATATAGAAGGTAAAGAAAAAGATTTCACATTTGTAGACACTAGTGGTTAAACCAAAGAAAGTCTATCACAACTGAATGACTTGTGCAAAACTTTTAATGCATTTCCAAGCTTCTTTTCAGAATCAAATTTAAAGCACATACAGGGAGAGGTAAAGGCTTTTCTGAAATATAGACACAGAGACACACACAGCTCTTAGACTTTCAGAACTCTGCCTGGTCTTTGTCTGGAAGTACTGTTTACCTGGGTGACCACTATTTGTCTTGGAGAGCTTGGCTCAAACATGTCCTTTTACTTCTGCTTTAGGTGTCCTGAGGACTGTTTACAGGTATGGGAACACCTCTAAAATGGCCTTAGCGTACTGTGTTATTTTTGCCTACTATTGTTCTTGCTCAGCACCAGCTAAATTCTCAAAAAAGTCATGTGCGAATTTTATCTGGGTAGTGCAAATGCATTATACTGTACTCATTGAATCACCTCAGCATTTTTTATTGGTTCTTAGTAAATAAAATAAAGAAAAATGGGTTATTAAGAGACCAAAGATGAAAGCATCATGTTAAACAGAACCGAATCTTTCAGAAAGGTATAATACAAAGGCAGAAGTGCTTTGTCGCAAAAGAACACCAAATAATTATTATAACATTATGTGTTATTCTGATATAATACAATTAACTGACCTTAGAAATAGTTAGGCTCTTGAGTTTTTCTTCAGGGAAAAAAAATGTGAGTATGTTGCTTTCTTTTCTCTGGTCTTTCCCAAGTTAAAAATAAGGAAAGTTTCTTGTGATCTGTAAGGCACTGTCTCATTGACAGAACTTGAAAGTGTTAAATGAAGTAAGCTTCCTGACTATATATTTTTTGCAACAACCTTATTAGAGCATGTTTCATGTCTTTGTTCCGCAGGTTGTAGATTACAGGGTTAAATACTGGAGATATCACAGTATAGATCACAGAAAGCAGCCTGTCAGTAACAGATGGTGTATTTGAGGGTGGCTTCAAATAAACAAAAAACGCAGTTATGATAAAAGCTGTGAAAATAATGAGATGGGGAAGGCATGTGGAAAAAGCTTTTGACTGACCTTTAGTGGTAGGAATCTTCAGCACGGTGGAGAAGATAGAAATGTAAGAGATCACAATACAGATGAAACAAGAAATGCTTAAATATGTACCAACTCCAATACCTGGATACATTACCATGAGTGCTTCAGAGCAGGAAATCCTAAGTAATGAAGGAACATCACAGAAAAACTATAGGATCACACTGGAGCCACAGAAAGGCATGGAAAATGTGCCAGCTGTGTACAAAGCACCAAAGAGCCCTCCAATGGCCCAGGAAACACTTGCCATTAACGCACAGACATCACTATTCATGATTACCTCGTAGTGCAAGGGACAGCAGATGGCTACGTAGTGGTCATAAGACATGGCAATGAGGACAAATATCTCACTTGCTCAGAAGGAAGTCATTAAAAGTAGCTGGAAGGCACATCCTAGAATGGAAATGGAATTGTTGTGGGTCAGGTTGTTGACAATGAATTTTGGAATTGGAACAGACAACAGAAAGATATCCAAAAAGGATAAGTTCTTCAGGAAGAAGTACATGAGTGTTTGGAGCTTTACATCTAGGGTAATGACAGTAATGACGAGAAGGTTACTCATGAAGGCTGCCAGGTAAATCAGGACGCAGAGCACACCATATAAAATCTGCATCTTCTGGACATTAGAAACCCCATAAGAAGAAATCCTGTCACCAAGGTGACATTGGCCATACTAGATTCTCTTTAATGCCTGTCAAGGTGAGGAAATACGCAAAAAAAAAAAAAAAAAAAAAAGAAAAAAGAAAGAGAAAAAAATTAATTTATGCAGTCTAGTAGTAATAGTCATATTGATATACAAAAATATTTAGTGGACAGGAGTCATGTACCTACCTAAAGTGGCTCTGCATTTACTTAAAACTTTGTTGTTCATTTTTTCAAGATAAACTTCATGAGTAATGTGTAAAGTGAATTAAACTTTATAAGAGTTTTACCTAATTCTATAGTCTTAACTTTAATTTGTTACAAGACAGATATAACTTGACTAAACACAGAAATTTTTCCAACCCACTGGGAATTTGCATCAAATTATTATTATGCCATGCTTCATGATAAATTCTATGCTTTCAGAAAAGCAGTCCAAAGGCTGATGTCTTTAGATATTGTTAGTATTCATAATATTCTATACATGTGCAAAATGTCAATGCTCATGTGATAGTACAAACATAAAGTCACACAAATATATTAAATAATCTAACATAGGTAAATAACTTTCTCTATTCTAATGAAAGTAAGCAAGGGAAAATAAACAAGGATTTGTTGTTTAATGTTTGTATTATCATGAGATCCTGCAATTCTAACATAACGAACCTCTTATTTAGTGTAGAAATAAAAATAAATTATTTAGGAAAATCTTATGTTCTTTGAATGTGTACTAAAGCTACATCATTATAAGGGTGGCTGATTTGTTTATAAAGGAATTTTGACAGGGCACCATGATAAAATGGCTTTCCTATCCTAACTGAATAATATTTCTTGATCATGATAAGTTGTCCATAATTTACTTCATAAAACTATCCAATATCTTCTTTTGGTGTTCACAATATTTCCCTTGATTATTAATCAATATTATTGATTTGTTATATCAATAACTAAATAAAAATTATTCAATATTTAGTTGTTGAATAAATAACTACATCATTAGTTACTGATGTAGTTATTTATTCTTTATTGAATAACTTGATGTAGAGTTATTTATTTGTTCTTTATTGAATAACTAATAAGTCTGATTATTAGTTACTGATGTAGAGTTTATTTATTCTTTATTGAAAAAATTGAAAAATGTTTCTCATATATCAGACATCAAACTAGATGGTAGAGATTTAAAAAATGAACAACTTGAAAATAGGATGGATCCAAGATGGCTGATTAGGAGCAGCTCAGGATTGCAGCTCACAGCAAAAGCACGGAGGGTGAGTGGATGCTGCATTTTCAGACGTATTTTTATTGCACACAGACCAGGAGATTCCCAGGTGGAGGAGCCCCATGGGTCGCCAGCGTGGCTGTTTTGGCTGGTGCGCCTATTTTGGCTGGCATGCCTGTTTTGGCCAGCACCCTGGCACAGTGGTTCTCTGTACAAAATACATGGATCCAGGTGCCTTTTTAGCTGGTGATTGGAGCTCCTGGGAGAGCTCATTCAACTGATAAGAAAAGGGGACTGAAGCAGGGAGCCAGGCCAGGAGATTCCTAGGCAAAAAAGCACCACGAATCTCAGTGTGGCTGTTTCAGCCAGCACAGTTGGTCACTGCATGGGAAATCACACAGATCCCAGCGCCTTTTTAACAGGCAACTGGAACACCTGGGAGAGAGAGTCAACCATTCAACTTAAAAAAAAGAGGGGGGCTCTGAGGCAGGGTTCCAGGTGATCAGGCTCAGCTGGTCCCATGTCCACAAAAAAACAGCAATCAGAAATGCTCTGGATTGAGAGTTTCACAGCAAGCACAGCTGAACCCAGGATGGTCCAGCTCTGTGGGGAGGGGTGTCTGCCATTACTGAGGCAGTCCACCACTACAGAGGTAGTTTGCCATTGCTAAGCCAGCCTGCTAGTGCTGAGGCAGCCTGCCATTACAGAGAGAGTCTGCCATTATAGAGGTGGGCCGCCATAGCTGAGGCAGTTCTAACTATACCCATATAAACAGGACTGCAGGGAAGTTCACATGGCAGCTGGGTGGAGCCCACAGCAGCTCTGCAAAGCCTCTGCACGCAGACAGTGACTAGGCTGCCTCCTCGCTGGGCAGGGCAGCCCTGAAAAAAGGCAGCAGCACAACAGAAACTCACAAATAAAGCGCTAACTCCCAGGGACAGAGCACCTGGGGAAAAAAAGGGGGGTTTATGAGTTCTGCTGCAGCAGACTTAAGCATACTTGCCCAGCAGCTCTGAATGAACATCGGAGCTCACAGCTCAGCAATTGAGCTCCTATAAAGGACAGACTGTCTCCTCAAGCAGCTCCCTGACCCCCCAATGTCCATATAGGAGTCATCTCATAAAGGAGAGCTCAGACTGACATCTGGCATGTATCCTTCTGGGAAAAGGTAGCAGAAGAAGAAACTGGAAGCAACCCTTATTGTTCTTCAGCCATTGCAGGTGATCCCCAGGCAAGCAGGGCCTGGAGTGGACCTCAGCAGTCCTACAGCAAAGGGGCCTGACTGTTAGAAGGAAAACTAAGAAACAGAAAGAAATAACTTCATCATCAACAAACAGGACATTTACTCAGAGACCCAGTCTGAAAGTCAACAACTACAAGGACGACAGGCAGATAAATCCATAAAGATGGGAAGAAACCAGCTCAAAAAGGATGAAAACACCCAAAAGCAGAACACCTCTCCTCCTACAAGGGATCACAACTCCTCACCAGCAAGGGAACAAGGCTGGATGGAGAATGAGCGTGACGAATTGACAGAATCAGGCTTCAGAAGGTGGGTAATAAGAAACTTCTGTGAGCTAAAAGAACATGTTCTAACCCAATGCAAAGAAACTAAGAACCTTGAAAAAAGATTTGATGAAATGCTAATGAGAATAAAAAAATTTAGAGAGGAATATAAGTGAATTGATGGAGCTGAAAAACACAACATGAGAACTTCGCGAAGCATACACAAGTTGCAACAGCCAAATCGACCAAGCAGAAGAAAGGATATTAGAAACTGAGGATCAACTCAATGAAATAAAATGAGAAGGCAAGATTAGAGATAAAAGAGTAAAAAGAAATGAACAAAGCCTCCAAGAAATATGGGATTATGTGAAAAGACCTAATCTATGTTTGATAGGTGTACCTGAACATGATGGAGAGAATGAATCTAAGCTGGAAAACACTCTTCAGGGTATTACCAAGGTGAACTTCCCCAACCTAGCAAGGCAGTCCAGCATTCAAGTCCAGGAAATACAGCAAACACCACAAAGATATTCCTCAAGAAGAGCAACCCCCAAGGCACATAATCATCAGATTCACCAGGGTTGAAATGAAGGAGAAAATGCTAGGGGCAGCAAGAGAGAAAGGTCGGGTTACCCACAAAGGGAAGCCCATCAGACGCACAGTGTATCTGTCAGCAGAAACCCTGCAAGCTAGAAGGGAGTGGGGGCCAATATACAACATCCTTAAAGACAAGAACTTTCAACCTAGAATTTCATATCAAGCCAAACTAAGCTTCATAAGTGAAGGAGAAATAAAATCCTTTATGAACAAGCAATTGCTCAGAGATTTTATCACCACCAGGCTTGCTTTACAAGAACTCCTGAAAAAAGCACTAAACATAGAAAGGAACAACTAGTACCAGCCACTCCAAAAATGTACCAAATGGTAAAGAGCAAAGACACAATGAAGAAACTGCATCAACTAATGGGCAAAACAACCACATAGCATTAAAATGGAAGGATCAAATTCACACATAACCATATTAACTTTAAATGTAAACAGGCTAAATGCTCCATTCAAAAGACACAGACTGGCAAATTGGAGAAAAAGTCAAAATGCATCAGTGTGCTGTATCCAGGAAGCCTATCTCAAATGAAAGGATACACATAGGCTCAAAATAAAGGGATGGAACCAAAAAAAATGGAGAGCAAAAAAAAGCAAGAGTTGATATCCTAGTCTCTGATAAAATAGATTTTAAAGCAACAAAGATCCAAAGAGAGAAAGAAGGGCATTACATAATGGTAAAAGGATCAATGCAACAAGAAGAGCTAATGATCCTAAATATGTATGTGCCCAACACAGGAGCACACAGAATACATAAAGCAAGTTCTTAATGACCTGCAAAGAGACCTGGACTCCCACACAATAATAATGGGAGACTTTAACACCATACTGTCAATATTAGACAGATTAATGAGACGGGAAATTAAAGAGGATATCCAGGACTGGAACTCAGACCTGGACCAAGCAAACCTAATAGACATTTACAGAACTTTCCACCTGAAATCCATAGAATATACATTCTTCTCAGCACATCACACCTACTCTAAAATTGACCACATAATTGGAGGTAAATCAATCCTCAGCAAATGCAAAAGAACAGAAATCATAACATTCTCTCAAACCACAGTGCAATCAAATTAGAACTCAGAATTCAGAAATTAACTCAGAACTGCACAACTTCATGGAAACTGAACAACTGGCTCTTGAATATTGACTGGATACACAATAAAATGAAGGCAGAAATAAAGATGTTTTTTGAAAGCAACGAGAATGAAGACACAATATACCAGAATCTCTGGGACACATTTAAAGCAGTCTCTAGAGGAAAATATGTAGCAATAAATGCCCACATGAGAAGTGAGGAAAGATCTAAAATAGACACCCTATTGTCAAAATTGAAAGAGCTAGAGGAGCAAGATTAGAAAACTCAAAAGCTAGCAGAAGACAAGAAATAACTAAGATCAGAGCAGAACTGAAGGAGACAGAGACACAAAAAACCCTTCAAAAAATCAATAAATCCAGGAGCTGGTTTTTTGAAAAGATCAACAAAATAGACAGACCACTAGCCGGATTAATAAAAAAATAAAAGAATAATCAAATAGATGCAATAAAAAATGATAAAGGGGATATCACCATAGATTTCACAGAAATACAAACCACCATCAGAGATTACTACAAACAGCTCTATGCACATAAACCAGTAAACCTGGAAGAAATGGATAAATTCCTGGACACTTACACCCTCCCAAGCCTAAACCAGGAA